TAAAAGAAATTGTTTGTAGTCCACCAAATATTCTATTTATTAATATGAAGAGGTCTTGTGAGGCTGGATGTCTTGTAACACTAAAGAAAATTGTTTGTAGTCTACCAAGCTGTCTATTTATTAATATGAATAGGTTTTATAAGAATAGAAGTCTTGTAGGATTAAAAGAAATTGTTTGTAGTCCACCAAATATTCTATTTATTAATATGAAGAGGTCTTGTGAGGCTGGATGTCTTGTAACACTAAAGAAAATTGTTTGTAGTCTACCATGTTGTCTATTTATTAATATGTATAGGTTTAATAAGAATAGAAGTCTTGTAGAATTAAAAGAAATTGTTTGCTGTCCACCAAATATTCTATTTATTAATATGGGTAGGTCTTGTGAGGCTAGACGTCTTGTAACACTAAACAAAATTGTTTATAATCTACCAAGTTGTCTATTTATTAATATGAGTAGGTTTTATAAGAATAGAAGTCTTGCAGGATTGAAAGAAATTGTTTGTAGTCCACCAAATATTCTATTTATTAATATGAGCAGGTCTTGTGAGGCTAGACGTCTTGTAACACTAAAAAAAATTATTCGTAGTCTACCACGTTGTCTATTTATTAATATGTGTAGGTTTTATAAGAACAGCAGTCTTGTAGGAATAAAAGAAATTGTTTGTAGTCCACCAAATATTCTATTTATTAATATGGGCAGGTCTTGTGAGGCTAGACGTCTTGTAACACTAAAGAAAATTGTTTGTAGTCTACCATGTTGTCTATTTATTAATATGTATAGGTTTAATAAGAATAGAAGTCTTGTAGAATTAAAAGAAATTGTTTGTAGTCCACCAAATATTCTATTTATTAATATGGGCAGGTCTTGTGAGGCTAGACGTCTTGTAACACTAAAAAAAATTATTCGTAGTCTACCACATTGTCTATTTATTAATATGTGTAGGTTTTATAAGAATAGAAGTCTTGTAGGATTAAAAGAAATTGTTTGTAGTCCACCAAATATTCTATTTATTAATATGAGTAAGTTTTGTGAGGCTAGACTTGTAACACTAAAGAAAATTGTTTGTAATCTACCAAGTTAAAAATAACCCATTTCTCCGTTTACTGATATTTTCATAAGGGCGAAAATTTGGCCAAGATTTCCGGTTAAAGCTCTGAATTTGATTTTCTCGTCAGATCGCGAGTGGAATCGTACGAAGAAAATGGAGAGGAGAGTAAAAAGAAGGGAATCTGGTTGTTTCAGAAACGTGGAGGATTACGCGAGAGAGCACGAGGAAGCGTCGAAGAACATTCAGCAGTACCTGTCGAATCCAATCAACGCTTATCTGCTCGTGAAAAGACTGACCACCGATTGGAAACGTGTCGAGGAGCTGATAACGCAGGACGTGGGCAAATCTTTCGTCGCGAATATCACCAACTCACGTAGCGACCTTAAATTCCCAACTGACGAGGACCTTAATGGCGCCGCTGTCGCTTTGATGAGGCTACAGGACACGTACAAACTCGACACCGCACAAGTCGCCAGGGGCGTGTTGAATGGGGTTCAATACAGCACAGGATTAAGCGGTTCGTACTTTTTCGACCTTCTCTTTCGTTTCTTTTCCTTTCTGTATTTATATCGGCGAACAACGATGACACTTCTTGGAGGAATCGTTCCTGAATCCTTTGTATTGCTTTCTGTTGTAACTATTGAACCGTCAATGGTACAGGTCAATAGTTACAATAATCGAAGGAACAAGAGATTCACTTCTACTTCCAGAAAAGAAGCACGTTAATCGGGGACTTTTTATTTTTCTGCAAGAATAGCAGGAGAAAAGTACTCGGATAAGAATTAACTTTCTTTCGTTCGAAGGTGTGCGCTGAATACCGAGAGTCCATTGAAATTCATCCATCGATTCAGATCGTAATATAATCGTGGAAGCATCTAATTGATTTTGTAATTTCGACAAAATTTCGTGTTTCGACTACTTAAGCTTTTCGTAAAACTGGCCTCTCTTGTTAATGATAAGCAGGATCGTGATAATTGGCTGCGCGATTTTACGGATTATCCTTTGCAAAGCCTCGAGATTAACATTATAAGAAGGTTTTCTGAACGCGCGCATTGTAAACGTAATCGCGGGACCTAATTTCAACATCCAGCCTTTATTCGCGAAAATCAACACTGCGGCGAAAGCGGGCTTTAATGAATATCTGAGACGAGTTTTTTCAGCTAGAGTTTTACTGTTCCCCCAACATTTTATGTTTGCGAAATGAAGATTGCATCGCGGCTTCATCTCATCATTTTCCTCCGTTTTAAATCGGCTCATTACACTGAATTTACTGCCGAAACTTTCGATTTCGTTAATACTCCCAACACATTTCCAAATTCAGAAATTTGTAACTTTACATTTCATTCTTTCTGCAACTCCACATCACCACATACCAATATACCTCAGTCTCGATATATGAATATCCCTAAAATATTCCGAAGTCTCAAATCTTTAGATTATTTCTAGATCTCACAATTTCTATATTTCGATATCTCTAGATTCCAAATTTCTATTTGTAAATACCACTATTGATATTTGACTATAGCAAGAAATTATTTACTCGAGAGAATAGCTTGATCCTGATTCTCTAAGGAGCTTTGATGCATCGACTACCAATGTACCACCATGAGAGAACCAGTTCGTTATCGCATTAGCAGTTTAAAGAAAAAAAGCCCGAAGAGCAAGAGAGAGGGAACGAAAAGCTTTCGCAGCTTCTTTGCGGTGAATTATTTATCCGGGTTAAGGATAGGGGTGAAAACGTTGCGAATCGACGGGGACATCGAGCCTCCCGATGTTACCTGTACTTAACGATACCCGACAATGAATAATTTACGCGATTCCCTTTTTCAGTCTGTCCTGTTCTCGCTTTTTCGACGAACCCTCTCGCCAATTTCGCTGCCGCGATACTCCCGCAGCCATTTCGCAACTTCTAATGTCACCAACGACGCGTTCCTCCTCCCCTGCCGCCTCTTTTATTACCACGGGTTTTCAACTTTTCATCCCGACGGGAGAGTGATTTTTTTCGTCGATACGATTCCCTCGATCCTTCCTCTGCATCATTTATCCGCTACGGGAAAAGAGTTCGATGAATATTGAATGGAGTGAAAATGATCTGCTCCTGGGACTCTTATTCCCTCTATATTTTTACCTCGAATCTAAGCTGAAGATTCGCTTATTTCGATCACGTGGATATAAATTTTCGAGGCATCTGATGAAAACAGTGGATGAAAAACTTCAATTGATAAGTTCAAGTTGGGTATTTGATAATAGGAAAAAAAAGATTAATGGTGTTTAAGATTTCTTTTGACTGTTCAATTTTATGCCAGCATCCTTCGCTATAGTTTTTGATCGAGACATTAATCTTCGCCTTAATTAATAGTACTGTTAGGGTCGAAATTGATGAGTCTCGTTCTGAATCCCACATCTCTATTTCCAAGTGTACATAATGTTGTATAGTGTCTTGTATCCTGCTCTTCTCGATGATTCTTCAAAGCAGCACGATAGTTTCCAATGTGTCGGGTGAACTCGTTTGTGTATAAAATAGGTTGAAGAATTAACAATATAGGTAAGCTGCTGATTGAATTTATTCAGCAGTAGGTTCATAGTAGATTCAAAGTGACTTGCTTAAATGTTGAATGATTTCTGATATTTTTACACTTTGATATATGCAAAGTAAACAATCGCGTGTACCACAAACGGTTTGGGTTCTAACTGTGCAATACTGCATAGTGCTTTGCAGTGATTTAAGAAAGTTTCGCAAGAAGTTTTTAATGCAATACCAAGCTTCACAATTTGTAACGGAAACGAATCGGATTGGCGAACATTCTCCGCTTATTACACAAACTTCTCGAAACATTTCAATTCGGAGTACTCGATCTTCGAATCCTCTTACGAGATTTTAAATTCAAGCATCTTTCCAACGTCCGTTGCCACCGAATGAACCAACAGTGCATGTATTCTAGACACAGTCGTTACGTTAACTCTTCTTTTCCGCAACTTCATCGCGACTCTCGTAAAACTTCTTTTATTCCCTTCAAAAACTGTTCTGACGTAATAAAGTTGCGCGTCGAACGATTCCGCGGGTCGTTGAACGCGAAGAAATATTACGTTGAAAGGGGGCCATCGCGTTTAACAATTATGAATTTAACAGAAAATTATTTTAGACCGTAAAATCCTTGCGGTTTACTCGGCGGAATTTCGAACGAGAAAGGTTTGAAAAGCGTATTTTTTCGACTCTTCAAATGGGAATGAATGCGTCCTGCGTCAAAGGGAGTGGTAAACGGCGAGGAAGAAAATAGGCAGAAATTAATTAACAGAGGCAGCTATTCGTATGGTGGAAAGAAAGAGTAAAGGAAAGGGAAGAGGAAGTTCTATGGTTTGACGCCGGTTGGAATATGTAACGAGGCATTGAGAAACCCTTAAAGTTTCGTTAAAAGTTTGCATCCTACCGGATCGTTCGATTCAACCGAGCCAGAAACTTGGAAAAACACGGAAGCTTTAGTTCGCTTCTTGTTTTTTTTAATTTTAACTTTCAAATTTTCAACGCGGCTCGCTCCATCTTCCGCTGTTATTGCGAATGCAATTATGATAATCGAGTCATGAATTATACAGGGTAGCTTCCAACTCGCGGGACAATCAAACGCTGCCAGCCATCGTCCCCGCTGGAATAAGTCGAAATCGGACCAACTTTTATCGCTTAATACTCCCATCTTTTTATGGGAGTCATTCTATCAAAATTTCACTCTTCAGCATCGTATAATATAATACATTGGTTTAGTAACTTTAATTTATAAAATTAGCTCTTCATATCTGTATTTCACTTCATACTTTTAATGCTAACCGAAGTCTATGAGTTTCTTTTCACTGTTAAATATAATACTTGAAGAATGTTTTCATTTTTCATGATTTTTTTCTATTTGACGAGTTTGGTCTTGTTACGTTTTTAAAGATTTCAGTCTTAGCTTTTTAAGCTCTTTTTAAGCTCTTCAACTGCTCTTTCATTGTACGGACTGTTACACAAGGTACACAATTTTCGACTGCTTTACAGTGATTTTCTGAGTAGGATGAAATTAATAACAAGCTCCTAATTAATCAACCCCTATCAATTAACCGTTAACCATAGCAAATTTCCACCGTTTTCTGTTTCTTGTAAACTTCTAAATTTCGTTGAAAATTTCTCGAGCGAAAATGAGGTAAATAACAGCCAATATGACTTAAATTATCAACACGGTATCTTCCAATAAAACTTTCAATTTTGTCTGAAATAAAATTTGTTCGAAACTTTGTTGTTACAGCCAGCGATTGTTTCGAACTGGGCCGGCAGTCTTATCATAACCGCGATTACTATCACACAGTCCTGTGGATGCAGGAAGCCATGGATCGCCTTCAGGAGGAACAAAACGCGACCACAACTCTGAAACCAGATATTCTAGAATATCTAGCCTTTTCGACGTACATGCAAGGTATGCGTTTCTGTGATGATAAAATTAACATTTAAATTCACGTCACAAGTATGAGAAGAAAAATCGATAAAAGTATTCGAACTAAATTTCTTTGGCTGAAGGTGCACTCGGTGAATATCAAAATTGAAGTGCAAGGATTAATCTTGAAGTGCAAAGATTAATCTTGAAGTGCAAGATTTTGATTAATATCAAAATTGAAGTGCGCGCACAGCCACTAGGTTCGAAACTGGTGTGGTTATAAGTTTTGTATAAGGTGTCTCACAACTAGTGTGGTCTCTGAAATGGGGGTAGGTGACGTGAGTCTGAATAAGATTTCCCTTTGCAAAAATGGGATTTGAAGCGTCGTTTTTGAATTATTAAGGAAAAACACGGAAAAACGAAGCTTCGTTTTTGAATTATTAAGGAAAAACACGGACCAATCAGAGCGCGGGGATGACGCATGCGCAGACGCGAGAACGGCAGCTTCGGATAACGCGTAGTTATCCAACACGTGGTAATCCAACGCGTAGTAATGCAACGTGTGGTAATGCAACGCGTGGTAATCCTACGCGTAGTAATCCAATGCGTAGTAATCCAACGCGTACTAATACAGAGCGTGGATATTCAACGCGTAGTAATCCAGCGCGTGCATATTCTACGCGTAATACTGCAACGCGTGGTAATTCTAAGCGTAGGAATCTAATGCGTGGTAATCTAACGCGTAGTAATTCAGTATGTGGATATCCAACGCGTAGTAATGCAATGCGTGGTAATCCTACGCGTAGTAATCCAATGCGTAGTAATCCAACGCGTACTAATACAGAGCGTGGATATCCAACGCGTAGTAATCTAGCGCGTGCATATTCTACGCGTAGTAATCCAACGCGTAATAATGCAGCGCGTGGTAATTCTAAGCGTAGGAATCTAATGCGTGGTAATCTAACGCGTAGTAATTCAGTATGTGGAT